TACATCGAGCTTCGAGGATAATCCCAGGCCTTTCAAGTGGTCATAAACTGTTGAATTTGATAAATTTAACCTCAATCCGATCTCACGTGTTGTTATTTGCCGATTCACATCAACTAATGCCTTTATCGCGTCTTTATCAGCTTCAACCGGCCTTCCCGAACGTGGTGCATCTTCGAGATCAAAATTGCCGGATCGAAATTTAGCGAACCAGTTCTGGCACTGGCGTACTGTCAACGCACCTTCTCCATACACATAAGTCAATTTCTTTCTGGCTTGAACAGCATTTTTACCCTTTCTGTAGTAAAACAGTAAGATATGTCGAAAATGCTGCTCATCGCTCTCCATATTTAAAAGGGCACCAACCAAAAACTACTGCGTAGAATTAATTGGAATTTTTCACACACAAGCCTTGCTATATGAGCTCTCAAAGCATATAAAAATTATACGGCTTAAATGTGAAGTTGGGTGCAAAAGAATACAATTAAATCCTCTGTCGGGAAAAAACGAAATGACTTTCCGAACAACCCTATATTATTAGTTGCCGTTAGTAACCCACTTTTATCTTGCATTTAAATAGATACTTTTTTGAGAAAAGCATTTTGTATTTTATTTAAAATACTTTTCCAAACGTGTTTTCTATTTGTAAAATGCAAAATACATTTTTGCTGTTAAAAGTTTTGTTAGTATCACTGGTCAAACATCATATAAAATGATGAATGAAAGTTGCTCACATTGACCATTGAAGGTATTAGAAGCTTAAAAGGGGGACAAGGAGACATTTCATGAATGCCTTCTAATTCTTTAACTGCAGAGAGCCCAAAAAATTCTAAACTCCTTGGAAATTGATAATCTAAAATACTGTTTTCTGGGTTCAATGTCATGGCCTATGGAATTTTGAAGTTCCAAATTGATATCAGCACCTACTAAATTACCACTTATCGTACCTTTAGCAAGAAACTACGAAATTCTACCAATTATGACGAAACAGCCCGCAAAACAATATCGAATTGATATATGCCACCTGTGTAAAACTGAAAACTACAAGATATTGTGGTGTGCTAATAAATTCCTATAATCCAAAAATTCTTAGAAAACCATTCGAAAAACTTCACTTATTAGATGAACTCAAAGCTAAAGAAACTACGGCTTCCATTTCTTTCTCTTAGTAAAACTTTTAAAAGATCAGAAACAAAATGGGGTTGTAAATATTTTGATATAAAATGATTGATGTTGATTTTACAACATTTATTTGCAGCCCTATTTTGGCTTTGATCTTTCACGCTAAACAAACTATTTTGGTATCAGTGTCTTTTTCTAAATTAAAACGGATGACAAAGGCAAATAAGGAAGCATATAGAAGAACTATTTGTTGCTGAACTGAAGAAACTGTAACGTAAAGATAGAAAAACTATATCTCAATCATTTTAAATAGAGAAATATGAATCATACTCAATCTTCGCAGCTGGTGATATAGTGCAACACCAGTTTGGTCTAGAAAAACTCCAATATTTAAAAAATGAGCAAATGCCTGCAAGGTTTTCTTAAAAATATTATTACTTAAGTAAATGTAGAAAATAGGTACTACAAAAAAGTATTTATTTGAAAAAAGTATTTTGAAAATACGTATTTTGCATTTAGCATTTAAAATACAAAAGAGAAATCTATTTTGTATTTTACATTTGAAATAACAAATCAAAAAAGTATTTA